AAGGCATCAAACTTTTAATGACTAACTACAGTTGCAGTAGACCTTTCTGAAGCCTTTTCAGTCAAGAGGAAAAAAAATAAAAGAAATTTTGGCTAAATCGTTGTGGTCTAACTGGCTGATCACAAAAGACAGGCAATGACCGTCGCGACAGTGTTACCCAAGAAGCCGAACGCCTCCTTTTCCACCAGTAAAGATCTTGGATATGGACTTCATATCCATAAATAGCTCCGAGTATGAATGGGAATAATCAAACAGGACACAGAAAACAACACTTAAGCATGTGCTACTTGATGAAACTTTGAACTGTTCCCAGCATCTGTCAAAATCTGGATAGGGAAAAGGAAAGAGTTTGACATACCCTGCCAGAACTGCCAGAGTTTGACCGCTGTGACAAAAAAGCAAACATAACAAAACAAAAACCCCACACATCAGAAGTTAAAAGGTTGATGACATATTTGCAGAACAAAATTTCAGAACCATGTTATCCTGAACTATGACTGCAATACAAATATTTAAACTCAAAATAAGGTATCTAGAAAGGAAGTCAAGAGTGTTTTCCAGCGCTAAAAAAAAAAACTTCATTGCTTTTAGAAAAACAAAAAGTGACTTATTCCAGAAGCACTGGCTATTACAAAAAACGAAATGAAAAAGACAGGTTGCGAGCGAGCATGTGGGGAGGGAAGGAGGACGCGTGTGCGCACTGGAGACCGCACAAGAGCACATGAGCTGTCTTCCTATGGCACCTTCCTAAGAGGCCAAAGATGTTTCAAACAAAAATAAATGTTCTCAAATGGGAAAATGAGAAGTAGAAGTGTGAGGAAACCTTTTCATATGAGTATATGCCATTGTTATATTGTATACAAACACAGCATAGTGTGTGCATGTGTGCGTGTATAGAGATACATACTAAATTGTGGGGGAGGAAGGTATAAAAACTGCTAATGCTACAGCACTCAGGAATGGATGTGCGGATCGAGAGACTGACATAAGGGAGCAATTCAAGCATTCACACATTCGTAAGCAACACTTCTAGCAAATAATGCACCTACAACAGTGATTAAAAAAAATAATAAAAAAATCTTTATCTCATTTGTCAATTTTTACTTCCACATGAAGATTTGGCAAACTGAGTGAATTAACCTTAAATTACCAAAATATTTTAGTGACTTTGCTATAATCTCAATAAAGTAGGCTGAAGAGTCTCCGTGCCCAGTCTTTCACACATGACGTTCTATCAAGCAGCCTTTCTTTTGGTGGGCATGTGTTAATAAAAGGGAGTACCACTGGATACTTCTAGAAAATCCCTACTGAGTATGAGGCAGAAAAGAGTTATGTCCTGCTCATCATGGGTCCATAGGAAGCCGTGGCCCAAGCCTTCCCAATGAGCCTCCACGGCCACCTCTGGCACACCACAGTACAAGAGACACTGCATGCTACCAGGAGAATGGTTTGCAAAGGGACAAAAGATATTAAGATTTACTTTTGCTTATAGAAACAAATACAATTTTTTATTCACCTTTGCTCTCTCTGGATGAGGTTTCTATCCAGCATAACGAAGCTGACCCAGCAAGTGTAGAGCTGCTTTGCTTCAGAGCAGAGATCCTGCGGACAATGAGTGACCTCTGAGATGGCCCCGGGGCCCCCCACCCAAATGGCATGATCCAAACCAGGACTCCAAACCAGGGATAATTATTAGAGAAAATTACAGCTTGGAGGTCTCTTGTTTAGTAAAGCTAATTGAAATGTATTAAAAAATTTGCCCTCCCCAGAAAAGAAACAATGTACAAGGAAACTATTTTAAACTTCATTATAATGAGTAAAGATGAAATTTTAATCACAGGCCTGGAAGCTGGCTTTTGCCTAAAGAAGAGTAATAATTACCAGATTTCATTCAATATGAGCAAACAGAAGACAGCAATTTGAAACGGCTAAATTGCCATTAACTTTTTACTCTCAGCATTATGCCACTGAGACAAAAAAGAGAATGAAAAGTTGAATCATCTGAAAAACTTAATAAGTGGCCTATGCTTTAGATTTCCATAATTAAAAAAGGACAGTTTAGAATTGCTAAGTTCACTGAAGAGATTTAAAACTACAGGATAAATATGTACCAAATGGAAAACTGATGAAAATAGACAACAAGCAGTGTGAAGTATAAACCCGGAAACCTTCAAGAATCACTTAGGAAAAGCTAAACATTTTGGAAAGTTCCCTAACAGCATAACTAAAGAAGAAACAGCCCAACTGAAAACTGATTTTAATCAGCATATGTTAAACAAGTGTTAAGTGGCCTGTTAATTTGCATCAAAAGACGGCTCCGAACATCTTTTTTTTTTTTTTTTTTGCTAATGTTCTTTTCTAAGAAAATCCCGATCAGAGTGGAAATTACAGCAGAGTGAGATAGTGCTGAAAAAGGGCTGATACTTTAAAACAGCAAGCTGTGGGTTCCTGGTACGTGCATGCCCATTAACCTTCCATGAAGCTCAGGGCAAACAAGAGTAATGCTGATTGAATCTCAGTCTTTTAGTACTTTATTAATATAATTCTACTAATGATAGTCAATACAGTTCTAGGAAAATTAGCTTTGCCATTGAACAAACCTAATTTCATTCTGTGATGAAACTGAAAGTTTTCCTGACAGAGACACCTGCATGAACACAACAGGCTTCAGTCATGTATTTGGCTCCATATACATCCACCTATTAACTACTGCCATAAACTTTCATTAGAGCACATGCTAAACGGATTAAAAACTGTTTAGTTGATGCCACTTCAACAGTTAACTATAGAGACTATTAATTAAATAGCAACAGTTCTTCTGGGTTCTGTGATAATTCGCACAACGCCTGATGCTCCTCGTATTTATTGGGCGCCAGGACGAAGGATCAATCAGCTGCCGGTGAGCGCTGTGTGTGACTGCAGGGGTGGGCAGAGATGGGCACTCCCAGGCAGCAGGACAGCGTTCAAGGGGTATCAGCGCTTTCAGATACCCCTTGATGCCTGAACGCAAAGAAATGCAATTTATTAGGGAAGGGCCAAGGGAAAGTGCGCGTCTGTGGAGCGCTGCAAATATGAGAGATGCATTGGGGTGCGCCACAGGGTCCTCCCCTCATGTCTTAGCTGCCTTTGGCGACACAAAGGTAGCACCTGTGTGTGCTAGTTCTGTCCTGAGCTTTCACAAGATTTACTGATTTATCTTTTTTTTTTCTTTCCTTTCAAGGTCAGTATCTGATATTTTGGTCACAGTTTCAGTCTCAAGGCTGGAGGCAGGTATGATTTAAGGAGTAGGCACAAGGCACATTTTAGATTTCTCTAACGAGAACTTAAGAAGCTTGTTTCCTCAGGCACAGCAAAACTTTCAAAACCAGTTTCACTAGGTCAAGTATCAGTCTTGCTATTTCCAAGCCTTCATTTAAGAAAAAAACTCGTGGTACTTGCTGGAAACAAAGGCTCCTCTAAGGAAGGACACAAACTCGCCTTATTCCAAACAGGAAATCATGGTAAGCAAGACAAGCCTTAATGACTGTATTTCAGCAGGGACTGCGAGTCAGGAGAGGTAAAAAGGAAGTTGGACAGATCCGCAGAGCTCAGTACAAACTGGTTAGTTTGATTACGCCAAGCAGTTCAACATACTGTTAAAAACCATAAGAAAGAATACTCCTAAGCTTAAGATTTTTTTTTTTTTTTAAGTTTAGCCTCAGCTAATGTGTGGGCTGGGTACGCTTGGCCGTTTCTTACTGTCACAGGATGTAAGCGCACAAAAGAGCACATGAGCTACTTTGAACTGTGCATCCTTAGCAGGTACAGAGTCATTACAAAAGAAAAACCTGGTCTCTGACACACCGGCATTTTGTGCCTGACCTAAATAACATATCCCTAAACCAGGGGCAACATTCAATTAGGAAGAGAAAAGACAGGAGATGATTATAAAGGCCCTCGAGAGGTTTAAAAATCTGTGAATCTGCAAAAAGCTACATGCAGATGGCTGAGGTCTGAAGATGTGACAAAAGTTAAGGTTCAGCCCTGAAAGCCGCACGGATCTTTCTCAGCATCTCACGTGTCACCGCTGCCACGAAGCAGAGGCCCCTGCAGCAACGCAGCTGGTGGCGATGAGAGGCCCACGCAAACATTGTGCTAGGACATGTCTGGCTGCTTTACTTTACTTTTAGTAAATTACTAAATTTACTTTACTTTACTTTTAGTAAATACATTTTATCTATATCCCATAGAGATAGCTTTACATCAAGCATGTTTCTGTATTTTCCGAGAGTACTTGCTGTAATGGCACAAGTAATGAGCTCAAAGGAAATTTCAGGAATATGGCATATATTTTCAAGAAGTTAAAATCCATATAACAGGAGGTTAAAATCATAGTGGAACTTTGGTGTGAACTAGTTAATTGAGATTAGAGCTTTTCACATGAAACCTTGAAAAGACTCAGTTGCATTTTAATGAACATAGTCCATGAGATATGACTATTATTTTAAATATTACTGTGAACATTTGGGGATCACCTTGGAAAAGGGAAACCTCTAACGCTGCACGTAACCACATTGCACATCACCATGCATAATGTGATCAAAGCTTGGCTACGCTATCTGTGCCCTCACAATTCTGTTCACATCCTTCTGTTTTGGCGTGAGAGGACTCGGCATGAGAGGAGACGATTCAGCAGTTCGTATCTCAACAACAATAAAAAATTCTCGTGTCACTGCATATTTGTAAGCACTGGCAAACTGGAACAAAATTAAATCTGATTCTCCTATACGATACACAAGAAAAACGGTCATAGATTCCAAGATTATTCTCCCCACCTCCACTCCCCCCAGCCCTCCCTCGCCCAAAATGATACTTCAAACTAAGGATTACAAAGTTCACAAAAGCATTTCTTGAAAACCACACACACACAAACAATATATATATATATAATGTGTATATATATGCAACATTCTCAATTCATCAGTTCTACTAAACTCCTTCCAAAGTACTAAAGGACTTACCCAATGTGTCTTTTAGATTTTTAACCAGAGAACCTTTCTTCAAGCTGTTTTTTCGTTCCACATAATTTGATGGCACATATCCCGTTTTGTTGGCCGCGTTTCTTACCCTCCACCATGTCTTGGAATCATCTAATAGCCAAAGACGTTCATTTTTCTTGATGTCAAGTTCTTGGTCCTGCTGTGCAGTATAATCCCACTTTGCAATAACAATAACTTCTTCTGTCATCTTTCATGGAGTCTTTCTGAAACAAAATATTAAAACACATTCATCAATAAATTACATCATGCAACTCTTACTCCAAATTTGCGTCAAACTCTCTTCTGTAATAAGGAAGGAAAGGGGAAAATAAGATATACAGAAAAAAGAGCAACTTAATAACAAATTCTAGTTATAATGTGGTGTTATGTTCTCTTCCTCTGAATGTACATAAAATAGTAGATATATATTAAAAGTGCCTAAGTCATAAAACCCATTGTTTTTGTATACAGCATTATAGAACTATCGCACACCTAATAGTCACAGATCTGATTTCAGAAAAAAATAAAGCAACAGTGCAAAAATGTATTTTCCTTCCATCAACCCTATGCTAACTCTTACCCTATGCTAACATTTTAGTTAGAATACTTCTGTCCCAAAACAAGCTCTCCTGCTTTTCTTTCCTTTTGTTTTGCTAACAATTTCTCTGTTGCTTATTTTTTTCTACTCATTGCTTTTTTGAGAGAGAAAGAGGGGTGGGAGAGAGATGGAGCTGAGAATATATTTCAAATTCAGCACAGTAGATTAAAATAAATAAATAAAGATTTCCAATAAACTACAACACAGTAAAAACGCTCCCAAATGCCAGTGTCTAGGGATCCTTTTAACACAATTTGACTTTGTTATCCAGTTCTTAGCAGGACAGTACCTGAGGGTGAATAGTCTGATATCTACTAGCATACGTGACTGAAAGGAAGCCCCAAACCTTCTTTAGAGGTTTTCTGTTCAGTGCGTAAGTTACAGGGCTGCTACAACCTGCCCACACACGCCCTTTAGCTACAGTGCAAGCTGGGAGAACAAACATGGAAAATAAGCATTTTTATTAAAGTTAACTTCCAATTAGGCCTCTCGAATAGAAGCCTCCCTCTAGCATCATTTTGGTTTCTAAGACAGCATCATTACAGATTTGACTTATGGCTGTCAAATTGCTTGTCACCAAAGAACCAGTTCCTTCACTTCAAGCACAGGAACTAACAACGTT